GCCGCGATACCGCCACCAATCCTCCTGCGTTTAAGTTTCTGGTGTATGATCCAGGCTTAACTTTAGGTCTTGAAGTTCCGAGGGGAAAGCTATGTATATCGACAGCCGCCTTCATTCTCAATCCATTGCGACCCTTCACAGAGACACTCCGAAGGATGATTTGTCCAACGATGAACGTCACTTCTGTCTGAATACGCGAAACTCAATATGGGCCCGAATATTAACTCCAAAAATAACCTTCAATAGTCTCAGCTCCACCCACTTATGCGCGTGAACGACCGCTAGCCTTGACTGACTCCAACTCCTAAACAACATGACCCCTACGCCTAACCCTGCCATTAGACCTTACGTTGGCCGCAATGGTGACAGTAGTATTCTATCTGATACTCCAAAAGAGATGCCTTATAGCTCAGCATCGTAGTTCGTATGGAATAAAATGCTATACCGTGCCCCACTATACATCCCCATATTAACTCCCATATCGACCTGACGGTCAATATAATAACACACATTAACCTATTTGGTCCCGAATCGTAAGGATATTGCAGTGCCCTAGGCAACCCTAGTATTGGATCTGACTCCAAGATGGACCCGACTGTTAAATTTAATGTTACCCATAAGCTATTCGCCTTGGTAGCCATCGTAAATTACCGAATACTTCCTTCAACACCAACCCAAGTAATGGCCTTGGGAGAAACCCAGGCCATTGGCCTCACCAACAGGTTAACTAATCCGGATGTAGTTGTGGTATCCCTAGCATGAGCATTCATCAAGACCCCGAAGTTCAACGCCAGGGCATCCCCAATCCTAATTACTGTAAATATTGATACAAGTAAGCTAAATTTTAAATGCTGCCCAAACATTTACCTCAACGGTAACCGCCATATTCATGCTAATATTTTTTCAAACTGCACAAAACGACTTCCTTTACGAACGACGATCTTTATAGACGTGCACCTCTGCAAGCAGAGTTTATCATTCCCAAAGACCAGAGTCATCATTGCCTTGGCAGCGGAGAAGATGCGAGCCTGGGCTAGGGAAGAGCTCGGAAAGGCTTGGGGGTCGAACGCAAAGTTTTGCAATTGAGGATTAAGACTTAGGGCAAGCTGCCAGCCAGGACCCAGAGCTCTGCCACCCCCTCGGAGCTCGTGTTGTTGTTGTCGACGTGAACGCCAGGATGCGTGATCCTGCAGAGAAAGAACTGACGGAATGTGACGGGCGACACGCTACAGTACGCAATCACATCTGTCAAAACTGACACTAGCAACTAAATGCTCTGGACGAACGCGTACTCGTACGATCCAACATGGGGGGTCGAACGCCTTCGCGCAAAGCTGGGCTCTTCCCTCCCACGCATACTGTGCCAACACAATCGCCGAACAGCAGAGCGAGAGCAAGCTGCCATGCTCGCTGGGTATGCAGCAGTCCCGGAAGGAAGGTGTGTCGAATAAGCCACAGTGATTTAGTTTAGAATGCTTCCTGAGCAGATGGCATCCTTCTCAAGCTTGCCCTGCCTTGCTGACCTCGGGCCCCAGAGATCCGTCCACGACAGCTTCCCAGCCATCAGCTTCCGCCAGATCCCGCAAGCTGACGGCCAAGTCCTCCACATTGCTCTGTACCTTCGGTGATCAGGTTGCGCGATGTAGCCTACGGATTTGCATTTCTGCAAACAAGTCTCTAAGAGCATTCCACTTCCGCCCCGCTTCAAGAGGCAATCTCTTGCAGCTCGAATCATCCGCTTGTTTGCCATGAAGTCGTCGGAGCTTATGCTTCTTGGCAGGTGACCTGAGCTTGTACTGAGAAGCGGTCGCAAACCTGCAGCTGAGGGCAGGCCAGGGACTGTTTCCGCTCGAGAAGGCATCTGTACCTCATGCGAGGGCTGTTACTTTGCGCTTCGCTTCCAAGACTTTCTGCCGAGATCAGCCAAGGTATGGGCCGTTTGATTCCAGGTTGGCGAAGGGCGTCGGGAAGTTGATCAACACCCACGACACGTCGCCCAGGTACTCTTTGGTCACAGTCAAAAGTGCTTGCTCTGCATCAGCGTGAACGATACCCAACTTCCGAGGAGAGAGTCTCCAACGCTTCGCCATCGAACGTGCGAAACCGACACAGTGCGCTGAAGCGTCGACGGCCAAAACACCGAAGCCGGAGACCGCCAGCCCCAGACTGGAAACGCCGAAACCGCATCCCAAGTCGACGACCAGGCTTTGCGTTCCAGAGTTTAATTCTTTGACAGATTCAGACAGGTCCGCTGCCTCCACGGGTGGGATGCTCTTGCGCCCTTGACGAGTCGCGTGCCGAAACAGCCACCTGAGCGGGCGCTCAGAGTGTAAGGAGTACACGCCTTTCTTGAGATCGGTGAGGCCGGAGCTGTTGGGACAGTTTAAGCGCTGTAAAGCTGACAGCCCTGCATGAAAAAGTTGTGGATAGTCGCACTGCCGATACCCTGCAGCTGCACACTTCTCCACAATTTGCTGCATCGTGATCAAGGCCGATTTGCCGGCCACTCGATCGATCTCCTTCTTCGTGATGCTGCCCAGCTCATCAAACAGGCTCTGATCTGCGCAGCCTGCCAATGCAAGCACGATCGCCAAGTCTGCAGCCTGTCTTCCTGGTAGAGCTGGCCATTTGCTAGCAGCTTCCGAGCGCAATCGCTGCCAAACCGCAGACGAGGCGGCGGCCGAAAGCTCTGACACGGCAGCCACAGATTCCGCCAATACTGACTTCTGCAACGCTGCCCGTGCGATCCTGCGTGCCTGAGTACCTTCAGCCAGCGCGGCTGCCTTTTCCGCAGCGACTACCTTGGGATGTTTCACGAGTCGGTATGACTTCTTTGAGTCATCCGACCGGATGTCCTCAAGGAATAAGCCCCGAATCTCCAAATACGGGTTGGCATGGTCGAGAAGAACCCCCGCCAATTCGAACTCCTTGTCCTCCTTGGTACGCTCCCTAATCTGCATCAAAAAGCGAAATTGGTCATCCTCGAGTGTCTCCTTTGGAAACTGACGCTGCAGCATGCTGGTTGCACTGGCCGTATCCTCCTGCAGTGCCCGTTGTAAGGCTTTGAGCACATCTTCCGAGCTTTCCTGGCTCCAACTTCCATAGGCATGCAACATGCACGGGGCACTGCCCAGACCCCTGCCGTCACATCGCAGCTTTTGTTGTGGGTTGGGATGCAATTGATGCCATGCCCTGTGTGTCCAGCATGATGGCCATGCAAGCCAGCCACATGCGACGGCGATCTCCGATATTCGCCTTCGCCTTGCGCAGCTTGCCATGCCGGGTGGATTAATTTAGCAAGCCCTCGTTCTCGAAAAAACTTCCGGCTCGAACCGAAGTGTTGCGACCGACATTCGTTGGACTTTCCCAAGACTACCTAAACACGTGTGGGGTCGATAGCAGCAATGATACCATATTGGGGTTGGTGGATGGTGGATCAGTCCACAAGGCTTCGGGATTGTCTTGTGCCGCGGCTTCGTCTCGCATCCACGGCACTTCGGAGGCTCGCCTTGACACCGCGCCGAGCCAACTCGAGTGCAACGGCACCTTCTGCAAGTGAGAGTGCTCTCGTGTGCAGGTGATTACAAAAGCTAGGGCTAGGGAACTGTCGAATCAATCTCGTCTTGAAAAGGCTTCTGACAAGCTGCCTTTGTCCACTCGAGACGGACCTTGGCAAGGCTCCCGTTTCCAAGACTCAAACGATCATGGCAACCGTGTCTTCAGAAACTCAGACCTCGGGCACCGACCTATCAGAACAATATCAGCTTCTCCCCATCCCTGAGGCAGCAGAAGTGGAGCAGGGCCATCTCAGAACTCATAACGACAGCTGTCTCCGGAACGGCTTCATACGTCCCGTCAGTCAATCAACCTTGAGATCCAAGTTCCTAGACAGGAGAGGACGACACTCGCTCAAGAGAACCCGCCTGGGGGTTCAAGCCGGAGATGTGCTTTTGTCCCCATTTGACAGCTTCCACCATCCTACAATGGGCAGGCAAAGGCTCCCCCCTAAGGCGGGGCACGATTCCTGGCTCCAAGTGAGAGAAGGCCGAGGAAGCGGCCCCAGAAACTCCTTGGAAACCAAGTTTGAGACTTTTCTCTCGTCCAGGCCTGGGCGAGGCTTTGAGAAAATGGCATAAGATGGCCAACTCGAATCTGTGTTCTGGGGTACCCAGCGAGCGGTGTTCGCTCTGCCCGGCAAGCCCAGGGCAGTGTCCTCGAAGAAGCTGCTGAAGTCGTCCAGGAGGGGTGACATCACCTTCGACGAGGAAGATCACTACCATCAGTGCCGACCCATGAACCTCCGAGCGCTCGACATCAATAAAGCGGATACCCGCTTCCTCACAGAAGGATTTTGCCTGGGCTTGCCCATAGCCCAATATCTGACCAAGGGGGCCTTCAGAAACCGGGCCCTCAGCCCACCCAACAAGAGTTGGATCCTCAGAGCGCTTGCAGTGAGGTTGAGAACTGTAATGTGCAAGGAACGCCTTCGAGATCTTCTGTAAGGGCCATGCAACGAATGTTGCCAGCACTAGCGTGCTGCTGCCTGGTGCGATGCTGCTCGCGTCATCTTGGCGTGGAAGCATGTGGAAATCAATTTCACCAATCCTGTCTGCGTGCTCTGGATCAAGCCGTGAAGTTGATCAACCGTGGTCACCTGCTGCGTGGGAACAGCAGCATGCGCAGGCTGGCCAAAGCTGCACGTAGCTTTGGCATGCTGTCTGCCTGCTCTGCCCCAACATTACGGTCCACGCAAAGGCAAAACCGTTTTCCAGGTAGCCTTGTTAGCGCGGATGAGATCAATCTCGCCGGGATCTTCGAACCTCACATAATCCAAGTGGAAGTCTGTTGGCGAACCGCTCCAGACCAACTCGGGGCTGCAGCTGCGCAAGCAGGCCGTCCAGAAGCTTACCTGCGGTCGCACCTTGGCAAAAAAGATCTGCGAATTCCGCACTCGTCAGGTCTTCACTTGAATGATGAGCTCATGTGGGGAACACGGAAAAGCCACTTTCACAGGATCGCGCGCAAACAAGAACCACAAGGTGCCAAGAGCGGAGCCAGTGGCATCCGACACGACCTCATGCAGCATCTACGGCAGCGCCACGTGCAGAACTAAATTTCACCCGACCATCTGCAACACTTCATGGATGATGTCACAACACCAAGCTCTGAGCCACAATAGCTTTTGAAGTTCGGCCGCTGAGCGCACGTAATCGCGTTGTACTAGGCCTTTGAGATTGTTTCGCCGGCACGCACATCCGATCCGGCAGTGCTGGCATTCATGGAAATTGGAAGTGTGCTCGTGACAGGCTCGTCGTTAATCTCCCGACGGCGCTTGTCAAACCGCGCTCAGACCGCAGATTACTTGAATCAGATGCTCAGGAAGCGGCCTCTTCGTGGACACCTGCTCTTGTGGTCTACATGAGTGCGATTGCTCTGGCAACACAAAGGCGCACCTTTACGGGACCAGCCAGAAAGGGAAGATGCTCACACAGGCATATGCAAGCTGCCACCAGCACGACTGCCTAGGTCAGAGAAGCGCACAAAGCAGGTTTGACGCTGCTGCAGCTGTTCCCCAGCATCATCTTGCTTGACGAGCTGCTGAGAGCCACTGCATCGGACAGACGAACCTCCCCAAGTCTGCTGGAATGCACTTTGCCAGGTGGCGCAAGGCTTAGATCAACAAAACAGACGGCAGGATATTATGCCGAGAGCACAAGCCGAACGTCGCCCACATCGAGTAAAGCTTACAAAATTCGGTAGACATTCTCGGCACAGCCGGTTCTACACCTCTCTTCGCTCCGCCTGCTGCTGTTTTGGGTCGCACAGGGAGCTGTGCTTGTTCCTTCAAGCTTGAGAAACTCCCAGTCTTACGGCACCTTGCGAATCTTGAGAATCTCCTCGTTGGCATCCTTTCCTCAGCGGCCAAACAAAGCTTGGAAGTTACGGCCCCGTGTCAGATGAACGTGTCTGAGGCTCGTACCGACCAAGCAAATGACGTGGAGAAAAGAACGCGAAACCACCAGACTGCTACATGGAATCTGGTGGTGCGCTACAGTCTCGCCTGCGAAGATGAAATGGTTGCTTATCGGCTGCATGCTCAAATACCCAGCTACTCTCTGATACTTGGAGGTACATTCAAGACTAGCTGCCTCGCTTGATGAAGGCACGGGCGACATTCTTTCAGCGGCTGTCAAGCTTGTAGAGGCTCCTGCATGTCATGAAGGCGGCCTCGGCGCCGTGCGCCAGGAGGACGGCACAAACCTTCCAGGGGCCCCCGTAGCTACGGGAAGAGTCATAAAGTCGAGCTGAGCCTCTACATGCCCAGCGAAGGCCGCCTGACGAGCGGTTTCGGTTGGGGAGCCTTGGCTATCTTGTGCCTCTGCCAGAGACGGGCCTCATGGAGCGGAGTACTCCCCGACTCGTTCTTCGCATTGGCAGAGACCTGCATAGAGTACATCCACTGCACTTGCAGGACCGGATGCATCCCAGTCACATGACTGCAAAGCCTGGCGGGCCTGTTTGAGTAGCAGCTTCACATCTTCAACCCGACCTTCCGCAGAAGCCTGCCAGTTCCAAGTCGGTCAAGTGGGCAACCTGGGAGCCGAGATGGCCGGGGCTCCATGCCTTGCGGAGCTGCTTCTCCAACAGGGTTGGATCCTCAGTATCAGGGGCATCGGCGTGTCTCCTGCTAGCTCATACTTATAAGAGTGCTATATACAGTACATTTCACTCGAAGAACTCAGCAACCTGCACACAAGTCTCTAAGACCTTTAAGGGAAGGAGAGACGCAGCCGCATCGCGAAAGGCCCGAAGACTTGTACGTGGCACGCACATGCATACATGGTTGGATGACAACCCTGACTTCCTTGCACGCTTGCTGTCGGACACAGAGCCACACTCACATCATACACGCACACACACACAGACATGATCATACCACATACACATACACATGCATGCACACGCACACACACACATATACATATATATATATAATACATATCCATATGTATACACACATCACATACACATACACATACACATACACATACACATACACATACACATACACATACACATACACATACACATACGTACACGTGCAAGTACACGTCCACGTCCACGTACACATACACGTACACGTACATACATACATACATACATACATACATACATACATACATACCTATGCGTACATACATACGTACATACATACATACATACATACATACACATGTGTATTTGGTCGAACAGTTGTACCATTAGCTTTCTTGGGACCAGGGAACTCGGCAACTAAGGCACCCAAATGGCTGTGGATGCTGTCAGAGACACCGCGGATCGCCTGGAGAGCTCGGCCGAGAGCCGACGCACTGAACATCGACAGAGATTGACGAGGCAGATGCTGCAAGAGCTGCTTCGCCCAATGGTTAGATCTCCAATTCGCAGCCTCAAAGCACGTTGGGGTCCTTATGTTTTTGGTTCTTTGCGGCCTATTTAGATCTCCAATACCCAGTCTGTACATAAGGAAGAGCATTCCGGTAATATGTTACGATTGTTCGGTGGTCTCACCTGTTACAGTGTTCCCCGGGAATTTGGGCGGTAAGGCTATGGACAATGAGTATGGCGGTGGATGAGATGATTGTTTGGATGAGTCAGAGGGAATGCTTTCCACACAACTACTCAGTGCGCAACATGGTGACACCAGCTCGGTACGACAAGATCCTTGGTGCGTTCAAGCAAGTCACCGACAATGTGAAGCAGTTTGCGGTAGGAGGTGCCTGACTTGCCACTTTGGCAAGTCAAAGATGTTGACGTGCACCTGCAAGAAAGCACTTTGAAAGCTCACCTAGCTATCGAAAGGTTCCCCTGCCACAGCAGCTGTGGACAGCGCTTGGCACAGCTTGCTGGCCCAGCTTGATGCCGTTCCACACGCGGATCCTCGAGACAGAAAGATGCGGCGAGCACTCTAGGCTGGAGGTGTGTGTAGCTACCAGAGTAAAGCAGCTAATGCTTGAAAGGAAGAGTATCTCGATATGTGCCGAAGGGCTTATGCTTCTCAATGAGAAGTGCGAGCAGTCAGGACATACTCTGGTTGATTCACACAGGAGAGCCAGCATCGCGATGCTACACTTCTTACCCCACAACGTTGCAATATTCAGGACCTTACCATAGACTTAATGGGGGATTGTTGGCTTTCGCTGGAGCATCGTGACCCTGTCAGCAAGTTCAGCTAGAATAGTCGCAGGGCGCACGGCAGTAAGATGGAGGCACTCTGTCC